GGTGAAAATAGCTTTTAATATTCAGGGGTAAAACTATAACTTGAAATATGGGGATAAAAGGTTTCTGCCCAATGTGGCAATGAAGTACAGCTTGGCAATGGCAGCACTGCATCTCCATCAATGAGAAAGTCTAGTTTATTATGCAAAGGTTGTAAGGTTAGCTTGTTTTATGAACTGCAACACTTGCTAAATCTGTCAAACCTAAGCCCATTTCCACTACTTTTTAAACTAAATTAATTTGTTAAAGACTATTTTTTTTTTTTTTTTTTTTTTACTAAAATTGATTAAACTTGACTAAAACCTTTTGGTGTTTTCGTCGACTAAAACTTGACTAAAACTATTAAGTTTATAAGTGACTAAATTGTGACTAAAACTTAAAAGCATTTTCGTCCAAAAGACTAAGACTAATGTAACCACTCACACCCGGGTCCCACTCAACCCGCTCCGAGCGGGCCTCGAACCCGGGTCTCCGGCATGAGAGTCAGGCGCTCTAACAAGGAGGCTAAAGACTGCAGCCTCTAGCATCTGTCGCTAGAGCGCCTATTGAGATCGGGAAGTGAGGTTTACTCGCACAGCAACTACTAGCTGGCCTCCGTTACACTCACCCCCCTAAACCTCACTCTCATCCGGGTCACGGCACCAATGTAACCTCTGCGCCCCTGCCCCACAGCGCGGGTATAAACAGGAAGCGGGCACACGCACACGTTGTCTTTCACTTCGGATCCGAGCTCTATGAGACTTCTGTCTACAGAATTCAGCTGAAGAACTTCAAAGGATCTCTCTGCTACGGTGTTGGTGTGTTGCCGCGACCAGTGCAGCTCTCAACTGCTGTTCTCCCAGCCCTGTTGTTTGTATCTGTGTGTGTGTCATTTTCTGTGTGTGCGCATTCACACAGTGGCTTCCCCTAGGAGACTCAGCACTGTGAGAGTCTTTTCTTTTTTTCTTTTTTCTTCTAAAAGAGCAACACAAGCGTGACCCTGCGTCTTATTCAAGATGTCATTCTACTTGAGCGTTTCTGGATGCCATTGTTCCCTGGTGCCAGTAGATGGTCACAATAGCTGCATCTCGTGTTTAGGCGTTCAGCACGCTGAGGCAGCTTTTGTGAATAGTTCATGTTCTCATTGCGGGAATATGACTATCGCAGCACTGAGATTGAGACTTGCTTACCTCAAGGGAGGTGCAGTCCCCTCGCCTATGCCCCGATCTATTGTTTATTCTGCCCCGCAGAATAGACTTACTTCGGCGCATGACCAGGGTTATCTGAGGATCACCGTGAGGGCTTCCCCGCTCTGCAGGCCCCTCACACCTCACATGTGCTGTTGCCATCAGCACCCCTTAGTGAACGGCTTGGTCCTTCTCCGGAACTACCTGTCGTCTCCTTTGGGGCGCCAGCTGACGATCAGATGTCGATCGCAGCATCGGAGGGGGAGCTTCACTCCTCTGGAGATGAAGACTCGGCTGCGTTACCCCCTTCGGTGCGTGTAGCATCCGAGCCTGATCCAGAGTGGGAAGATATGCTTTGCCGGGCCGTCGAGAAGGTCGGGCTTGCGTGGTATCCTCCACCACGTCCCTTCTCGGTTGGACGATTGGTTTCTTAGGGCCGGCCGTGCTGGTTCTCAGTGCACCGCCCCCGTACCTTTCTTTCCAGATGTGCATGAGGAGCTTTCTAGGAATTGGAAGACACCGTATAGTGTCCGAAGCCGCAGTTGTGTCCGGCGTCTGCTTCCTCCCGGCGGGGCGACCCACGCCTCCCGTCCAAGGCCTGTAAGTTCTCCTCCGGTCTAATGGCGAGGGCTTACAAGGCCTGTAGACAGGCTCCTTCTGCCCTTCTTGCCATGGCGCTCCTGCAGGTCCACCAGGCCCAGGCGCTCATGGACATGAATGAGGCTGGTCCTGACCCAGAGCTCCTCCGGGAGCTCCGCGTGCAACCGACCTCACCCTCTGGGCGACGAAGGAAACCACATGTTCAGTCGGTCAGGCGATGTCCACCTTGGTGGTCCAGGAACACCACCTTTGGCTCAACCTGCCGGACATGAGGGACACTGGTAAACATCGGTTCCTGGGTGCCCCTCTCTCCCAGGTTGGGTTGTTCGGCGGCGCGGTCGAGAGATTCGCCCAACAGTTCTCGGCCGCCCAGAAGCAGACGGACGCCATTCGACACATCCTGCCCCGGCGGATCACTGCTGCTTCCACCCGTCTGCCGGGCGCAGACCCTCCGTCTACTCGTCGCCAAGGTCTGCTGCAGCGTCCTCCGCTCCCGCTAAGCCCCAGCAGCGGCCACCATCCAGGCCTCAGCGTGGAGCAAGCCGCAGGAAGCCGCCCCCGTCCATCCAGGCCGCTGCCAAACCAGGAGGCAAGCGTAGGTGCAAACGACCCTGAGACGGGCGGCCCAGAGGTGGATCAAGATACTCTTTAGGAGATGGCGAACGTGCCACTCCTTCCCCCGGGGGAGGGCCGGGCGGAGAATCTTTTGTTTCCTTTTCTTTTTGTTCCGCCACTGACCCACGGAGGATTCCGTGAGGATTTTCTTAAGATCTACGCATCAGGTTATTGTGTGGGGGGGCTTGTTTGACTCAAGACATCCTGTTCTGAATATAGTTTTCTAATATAGTATGGTTTGACGTAACGTAGCACAAAAGCCACATCTGTATAAACTTACATGCACCTCAGCGACAACTCTTCATTTTTTGTATTCTGCTAGTTGAGACCTTTTCAATGATACATGACAAAAGATTGTTTGATGCTTTTACAAATCACATTTTTAGTAGTCACGCTATAAAAATAGCAAATTTAAAAACACTGTTCTGTTCTGCCAATTATTTCCTCAACCAAATTTACTTTTATTTCCCCTTTTTTTTTTGTTAGTTCATTCAAATGTACCCAAAATTCTTGAGTTGTCTGTTAACAGTTCACACAGTATTAAACCCTTGTGTATGTAACATGATAAAGTGTGTTTTCTTTGGGGCATGGGATGGGGGGTGCTGGATGACACAGTTAATCTGTGGCTTGTTACAGTGTTAGTGTGGATTAGGACATATATCTGCAGGATCAGATAGGAACATCGTGATGGAGTGCTTCATAAAGTGCAGAGACTTCTGTAAAACAGCCATTTGAAAGAAGAAGAAAAATACGGCCTTTCTCTCTTCTGCACACTTTAACTGTCTCTTCCTGCTCGTGACCTCATATGAGGTTATGTTTGGTGTACAGGTCATTCGCAGGAAGATATGTCTTGGTTGTTAGATATGAAGGTAAATATATTAGGTATTTTCTGTTTAGATTTTACTGGAATACTAGTGACTCAACAATGTATTTATATATATGTGCGCGTGTGTGTGTGTGTTATTTATTTATTCAAAGTCTAATTTCAAAATTCACTGAGAAATTCATAAATGTGTTTGTGTGTGTGTTTGTGTGTGTCAGAGAGATTACACGTCTCACTGTATTAGGCTACTCCCAGTGTCTAAATCAGATTTACTCAGACATTATTACCACATTGATTCCTCAACGAGACATTATTAGGAGCCTCGGATTAACAACTTCAGCCCCCCAGGATCATTAAAAGTGCTAGTTTGACAAATTCTGCCCAGCAGTAAACCTCCACAATTACATACACACCACACAAAAACCTTTTTTTTATGCACAAGACAAATATATTAATTTTATGTCAAAATAATTTCAGGATTCCTAATGGAATCGCTAAAGTATTGACATTTTGATCGAATAATCTATTAAATAATGTGAACATTATAAATTTAACAGTCCGTACTTGTATTGTAAAACAGTCTCGCTACAGGACAGTTAAAGGATACTGTACGTTAATAGGATTTTCTTTTGGGTGTTGTTTTTGAAGATCTACAGTAGTATGTTTGAAAAAAATAAAATCTCATTAGCATTCTTTGCATGGGATTAGTTCAGAATTATGATAGCAATTTCAATGGGAAGGATTTCTTGACTATATGCAAAATTGAATTTGGTTAATTTATGGTTTCAGGTCATCAAGACAGAGACTTCTGATATAAACAGTAATAGCAATAGATGCTTGTACAATTATTATTATTGAACGTAAAGAAACACTCTGTAGTCCTATTATAAATGCTCCATTGTTTTACTGTTTCTGAATCTGAGCATAATGTTGAAGAGTCAGAGCTGATGGTTGAATCAGTGCACTAGGTGGCAGCATGGACTGACTCTGATCGCTGTGAACAATGAGCTCATCGCTTATAATCAAGCATCTGCCTGTTTGCTCTATGAATATTATGAAAAAAACTGGTCTGCTATTACACTCTAAAATGCTGGGTTGTTTTAACCCAACTTTGGGTCAAATATGGAAAAACCCAAACGTTGGGTTAAAAATGTAATTAAAAAAATTGAACCCAATGGCTGGGTTTATCCATATTTGACCCAAAGTTGGGCAATTTTTAGAGTGCCATGTCAAACATAAATTTGTGTATATACACACACATACAGGGGTGATGAGTCAATTTCGGGTCAAAAATGGACAAACCCAGCCATTGGGTTACATTTTTTAAATTACATTTTAACCCAACATTAGGGTTTGTCCGTATTTGGCCCAAAATTGGGTTAAAGCAACCCAGCATTTCTAAAGGGTATGGTTAAACAAGAACACTGGTAAATTCATGTATAAATTTTTGTCTTTTCACTGTCTTAGTTGGAATTTTTTTATTTTTGTGGGTTTTGGATGTCGACTATTTAAACTCTAAAATAATTGATTTGTAACTAGTCTTAGCCTTAAAAAAATACCTTTTTTTATAGTTAGTTTCATAATTGTCGTCTGAACAGCTTGTTTTATAACTTTTTATTGGAGGAATCAAACAAGATTTGACTAAGTGTGCTCCTCTTTAAACAGTTTTGTCATTGTCAGAAGAAGAGTAAAAACGACAGAGAGAACGATGGGATGGAGGGGATTTGGAGCGGGGGGTTGGAGGGGGAGGGCTGGGGTTGGCTCTCGCACACCAAACACAAGCTCTCGCACTGACACACACACACTCATGGCAGGAGTCAATCAGTCAGTCATTAACTCAGGATGTGTGTGAGCTGTCCACATGAACACACGGTAAGAACATATGGATTTTTAACACATTATTTCCACTGTCATTCTCTAAAGTTTATCCTGATGCTCTTTTTTTCCATGTCGTACGTATTCTTTTATTCCACTCTCAAATCCTCTCGTTTCCCACTTTATCTTCTGTTCTGTTCTTGCTATGAAAGTAAAGACCATCTGAAGCCACTTGAAGGTCATTCTCTTAGCAGCGATCTATAGTAACGATTCAAATAATGATGGGAAGAAACTTTAAACATGGTTTTAAAAGTTTATTGACTGTTAATGCTAACGTTGTAATTAAAGATAGAGTTACAAATGAATGTTCAGTTTATAATGAAGATGATTATTCTTTTCTTCATAATATTATTTATAGATTTTTAATAGTGAATAACTAACAGTTTTATTAGTTTATAGACTCTTAATTCAAAATCGAAACTTTAACTTAAAAAAAAAACTTTTGTGCATGTTAATTTCAACATAATCTATGACAGGTCAATTAATAAAATATAGAATCCTGCATAATCTCATATGTTTCAGTACAAAAATGCTTTCAACTATTGTATCTTCATATTTGTACTTAAATGTACGTAAATGTGGTTTATGGTCTAACCATTTAAGTGTGTCTTTTTGCTTGTTACTGTATTAAAACATATATATATATATACTGTAAATTTAACTCGTTGAACATTTCAACATGTGGAATGTCAGTTCCAAAAAAAATTCTGTTTATAGCAAAAAATGCTTTGAATAGTTGTTTTTCTTCTAGATAAGATGTGTTTAGTTCTCTGAAAGTCCTCACAAAATTCTCTATTGTTTGAGTTGTACATTACAACACTTATGTTAAGGAGCAGCCGTTCGTGGAATGACTAGATTGATGGATTAAGATTATGGGATTGGATTTAGGCCTTTTCCTCTATTAATCTCAAACTGTTCTCAGCCTACACATCAACATGATTCATAATTAGCCAATAAATAAGTTGCCATGTATCACGTAAAAACAGGTTTAAAGCCAGATGTCGATGATTCATTTCTTACATTGTTTAATATTTTATTCTGTGTCACGATAAGCCTTTATTGTAATATCAAGCCAGTTTTTGTAATCTTCTTGTCTCCTATCTCACCAGCTCTTCAGTTAGTTAGCACCTCTAAATGTAGACAAACTACTATTTAGTCACAGATTATCAAACAGTGTCTGCACTATATGGAGTTGAAAGACACGTTGACTTTTTAATCTTGACCTTCTTTAATTCTGATTCCCAATAACAATCTGCAGAAAAAATCTTCTTTTAAAAAAAAAATCTTCTTTTTTTGGGAGCGTTGTGGTGAGATATGATCTGAACATCTTAAAGGATTAGTTCACTTTAAAAAAAAAAAACTATTGCTGATAATTTACTCACCCCCATGTCATCCAAGATGTCCATGTCTTTCTTTCTTCAGTCGAAAAGAAATGAAGGGTTTTGATGAAAACATTTCAGGATTTTCTCCATATAATGGACTTCAATGGGAACCAAACAGTTCAAGGTCCAAAAGACAGTTTCAGTGCAAACTGTTCAAAGGGCTTTAAAGGTTTTATCAAGCGAAACAATCACTCATTTAACGTTTGTGACTCTCCTGTTCTAAGTCGTTTATCAAAATGAACCAATCTTTTTTTGTGTCATTTGGTTCATTGAACGAACGAAATGAACGAATTGACTCGGGAAAAGAAAAAGATTTTTTTTTTTTTTTTTTTTTTAAATGAGCAATCGTTTCGCTTTATAAGACCTTTATTCATCATCTGGAATCAGTTTGCACTGAAACTGTCTTTTGGACCTTGAACTGTTTGGTTCCCACTGAAGTCCATTAAATGGAGAAAAATCCTGGAATGTTTTCATCAAAAACCTTCATTTCTTTTCGACTGAAGAAAGAAAGACATGGACATCTTGGATGACATGGGGGTGAGTAAACTAACAACAAAAGTTCTTTCTTTTTTTAAAAATAAAAAATAAAAAAATGAACTACTCCTTTATTAAAAGAATAAAGATTTAATCCAAACTGTCTGTAACTCAGTATGTGTTAAGCAGCTACTCTTAACTGTCACCCCTCCTTTTTTGAATAGACATGAAAATGCACATTTCTAACTTAAATGGTTGTAATTCAAGAATGCTTTGGAATATAGACATATGATTGGTCTTGTTTTAAAGAAGACATTTGGCAGATTTTTGTAGAAGTGAAATAAATTAAGAAAGTGATACAGAAAAAAAGTTATAGAAGTTTGAGTTTATGGAAATGTACAATGTAAAAATATTAATTATTCATATTTTACATAAAATATATATTTTCAAAACCTGGGCTACTCTAAAACGGCAGAAAGATCAAAGCCAAAAATCTGAACAAGTTGTGTTTCAAATTTTAGGTTGATATCTCAAAAAATGAGTTTTCAGTAAGATTTTGTTTGAGCGCAGTACCAAACTTTTTCACTAGGGCACAATCAGACTCCATTACTGCCCATATAAGGGCGTCTGCATTTCCATTCGTGTTTTGAGTGATATGAACCATTATTTTCACAATTTTCATACAATTTCTGAAGTAGAGATCCTATTCAGAAGTAATATGGGAAGTTTGGCAGATTTTGAAATGAATTGAACCTCTAAGAAACACATACAAAGAACACGCATGCAAGTCATAGCTAGCTGCCACGTCACAAATGGTGAATTTATTATTTTTTCTTGATATTTCAAACTTTTCAGACCTTTTTTTCCAAAATAATTGAATGGATTCTATCTTCTGAACTTTTGGCATGAAAACAAACTGAGGTTTCTACCATTTTTTCATGATTTTTCATGTTTACTGCTATTTTAAAATAAAGGTCTGAACACGCCTTATGAGTATGAAAATATTCTTGTTGCATATTGATAAATTATGGCTTCTCTGTAATATATTTTGAAAATCAGTCACCAAATATGGAAACTAGAGATTGTAAGCTTTCAAATGATATATAGTTTGTCAATATTATTTAAGGTATTTACTAAGATATTATTGTTTTAAAATATAGTGGCAAACGTCCCACCTGTGGGACGGTGACAGTTAATTGCAGTCTTTAGCTGTCTACTCACTATTTTCTCTCTTTGTTTCCCTCTGCCAGTTTCAGATGATAAAACGGGAAGTCCTTCAATTCAAAGAAACAATAATTTAAACAATTTGGCACATTACTGTTTCTTCGTCTGTGTAACAATCGAAGTCTGCGCCTTTGACAACAACTTCCTGTTGCGATGTCTTCGTCTCTGCCACTGGCCTCCCTGCCCCCGAGCCCCCTGGCCATGGAGTATCTCAACGACTTCGACCTGCTCAAGTTTGAAGTGAAGCCAGACACACCTCCGCCTCCTCAAACCTGCCTATACCCCAAACCAGGCCTCCATCCGGAGACGACGACGGGTTCCCCGTATGCTCCTTGCCCTCCTCCTGACTCCAGCCTCAGCTCCAGCCCCTACACTTCGCTTCCTCCATCACCAACGCTCAGTGACGGACACCCACCGCCATCTGCATCCTCCTCTTCCTCTTCTCTCTCTTTCCCGCTGTCCATCTCCACTGGATACATATCGGGCCAGAGCTCCGGCTCTCAAGGGAACCTGGACGGGAGCCCAGCCGCTGGAGGCCCCGCGCCGTGTTCAAACCCCACCTCGTTGGAGGATCTGCTCTGGTTGGCCGCACTGCAGCAGCAGTTCGGTGGGGAGCCCGGGGGCGCCGCGTCCCTGCTGGGAGCTCTCGGAGGAGTGCCGGAGCGAGGGGACCGGGATCGAGGAGGGTTTCTGGGATGTGAGGACGCAGTGGAGGCCCTGTTAAACTCCGCTGCTGCTGCAGTCAATTCACAGGTATTTGGACCAGCGTCAAGCCAAGCACGTGAACACAAACGCTTTGAAGCTCATTTTCGCACACCATTGGATTCCCGAAATTTGTTGACAAAAGCAAAATGCAAGTACATATTTGAACAGGGTTGGAGCTGAACTTTGCAGGAAGGTAGATCTCCAGGAACAGGATTGGGCACTCCTGCGCTACAGCAATGCAAGACCACACTTTTAGCAGGCTATGTACCACCATCACCCTTCCTGCAGTGTTCAGTTCCAACCCTGTTCCAACTGTCTTCCTATAGATTTCAGGTAACCCTGAATACCATGATTTGTTAGGTTGGGTGTGTTTGGCGTTGGTGCTGAAGTCTGCAGGGCGGTATCTCTCCAGAAATAGGGTTGGAGACCCCTGCTCGAATGGAGTGTGGCTCTTTAGATGTAGTGTTTGATACCTATGGCAAGGGCTTAACCCTGGTCCTGAGGCCACCAGACACTGTGCAGTTTGAATGTTTTCTTTATCTCACACACCCATTTAATGTTTTGGAGACTCAGATGAGGTGTATTTGAGTAGTAGGACACTCCAAGGGAGTTTTTGCATTCAAAAAACAGAGCTCAAAAGAATGTGACAGAGAACACTCGACATGCCATCTTATTCATGGAAATGGCCTTTTAAAGGAGAACTCCGGCGCAAAATAAACCTTTGGTCTAATAAAACATCGGTACATAGTCAACCGTTCTCTGTGATTTGTTTTCATGATCATCGAATGTAAAGAGTTTTATCTCTAAAAACTGTTTAGCGTATAATGCAATGGGGGCATTGACTAAGTAAAAAGAAATCGCTAGTTTATACCACTAACAAGGCTCAAAATAGCCCCACACTAACACAGTAACATAATGAGGGTCCATACATGCAAAACGAAGCATTGAGAACTTTGTAAGTGTACAGACCGTTTAATAAGAAGATACTTTATGAAGACAGTTCACTTCACGTATACAGACAGGAGCCATCTTAAAAAATAGTCTCGATAAGTCAAACCACGAACGTCGTGCTGAGTGATCTGAACTGTATGAAGTTCAACGAACTTCTGAACTGTATGAACAGCGTTCGGGGATCGACTTATCGAGACTATTTTTTAAGATGGCTCCTGTCTGTATACGTGAAGTGAACTGTCTTCATAAAGTATCTTCTTATTAAACGGTCTGTACACTTACAAAGTTCTCAATGCTTCGTTTTGCATGTATGGACCCTCATTATGTTACTGTGTTAGTGTGGGGCTATTTTGAGCCTTGTTAGTGGTATAAAATAGCGATTTCTTTTTACTTAGTCAATGCCCCCATTACTAGCATATACGCTAAACAGTTTTTAGAAATAAAACTCTTTACATTCGATTATCATGAAAACAAATCTCAGAGAACGGTTGACTATGTACCGATGTTTTATTAGACCAAAGGTTCATTGTTCGCCGGAGTTCTCCTTTAAGTTGGGGTGTATGTCCAAATGTGGTATTTTTATTATAATCTTGTAATCTCTTTGCATTTCCTCTGGTCTTTCACTCTCAGTTCCCGGTTTTGTCTCAGAGTTCGAGCAGCAGTCACATGGGTGACTCCAGCAGTGACAGCGGGGCTGATGTTGTACTCAACAAGCCATCAGACATGTGTCACCGCCCTATCCTGGTCGTTTCTTCCACCCCTCCATCTCTTTCCAATCTCAACACATCAACCAGTCCCTTCTCACAGCCCCTCAGTCCACAGAGCCGCCTCCATCACCCACACCATCCAATGCAAGGCCATTATCATCATCATCACCATCATCATCATCTGCAACTCTCTCAGGTACTTGCAGTCACCAATTTATCCCCCAAAAACTTTGTCAACACAATCACATACTCGACAATACCACAGTGTTTTCTCCATTTTTCCCAATAAGAGTTTTAGACCACATCACAACATTTTGTTTTTTAGAAAAAAATATATTTGAAAATCAGATAAACACAAGTTTAGGACCAATGAACTACATGCCCCATTAATCACTGTTATGATTTAATCAAACCAGTCTGTATCTTTTTATATGCAAACACTATGATGTTAAAACTCTAATGCTACAATATATGAATGCTAATGGCTAATGCCACTTCTCCATTATATTTGTTAAAGGGATACTCCACCTTTTTTTTTGGAAATAGGCTAATTTTACAACTCCCTCAGAGTTAAGCGGTTGGGTTTTGCCGTTTTCGAAACCATTCAGCCGACGTTCTGATATTTAGAAGAATATCAGTAACCAGACAGTTTCTGGTCTCATTGACGTCCATAGTAGGAAAAAAATATATACTATGGAAGTCAATGAGACCAGAAACTGTCTGGTTACTGATATTCTTCTAAATATCAGAAAATCGGCTGAATGGATTCAAAAACGGTAAAACTCAACTGTTTAACTCTGGGGGAGTTGTAAAATGAGCCTATTTCCAAAAAAAAGTGGAGTATCCCTTTAAATATTTAATTAACCTAAGATAAAGAAATCACTGGGTAACACTTTTTAATAACTACACGCTAATAATAATTAGTTAAGTATGAGTAAACCATTAATTCATCATTCATAAAGCATTAATAGACATTAATAAGCAGTTTATAAATACAGCTATAAATGCTTTCTTCTCGATTTAAAAGCATATCTATAATTTAATAAATAATTGTATTTTCATCCTTTATTAATGATCAATTTATCATTTCTAAATGAATAATTGCATTTTTTATGAACTAGTTATTTGAGAGTTGTCAATGGTTTGTAAGATTACTTAGAGCGAGTAAGTAAATGATTAATAAACTATTTAAATGTGCATTCATACATCTTCTTATTCAGACATATGGTTACTTAGTGTGTTAATAAATGCTTTATTAACATGTATTAATGCTGTAATTAAGGATTAATTTGGGTAGTTATAAAGCATTTAGTAGTGGTCAGTTAACTATGTTCGTGAGCTCACCTAAAGTGAGGACTAGTCATGCCTTGTGAAGCATTTTTAAAGGCTGTTAAATATTTCTATGTTCTGTATCACTGCGTTGTGTTTGTTACATTTTACTGTTTAGAAGATTGACGAGTCTTTAAATCGCCTTTATAAATGCTTTACAAGGCATGAATAGTCCTCACTTTAGATTAGCTCACAAAAATAGTTAACTAACCACTACTAAATGCTTTATAACTACCTGTATTTACTATATTTACTTACACTTTCTAAGTAATCTTATGAATGACTGACAACACTTAAACAACTGGTTTGTAAATAATGCTATACTTCATTTAGAAATTATTAATTGATCATTAACAAAGTATGAAAATACAATTATTAAACGCATTATAGATATGCGTATAAATCAAGAAAAAAGCATTTATAGCTATATTTATAAACTGCTTATTAATGTCTATTAATGTTTTATAAATGATTAATTAACTGTTTACTCATGCTTAACTAATGATTACTAGCATGCAGTTATTATAAAGTGTTACCCATCACGGTAAGTGGCTACAATGAACCGCACAATGAAATAATCCAACTAGAACAATATTTAATTACAAATATATATAATAAACAGGAAACGCAACCACAAGCAAACATAAACGAGACCGAACACTGAACATAAAGATCTCAGGGCTGAGGGGAAATCAGCTGAAAAGAAACAGGTCCGTGGAACTAAGAACAACTAAGGAAACTAACTAGGGAACACAGAACACAAGAAAAACGAGAACAAAGCACTAAAGCAAAGCAAAACCAAACACTGTGAAACTAAACAGAACTAAACATAACCCTGACAATCACAGAGCTATGCCTGCATTTGATGAGATTTAATTAATAAATGTTAAAAGAAGGCAAAGTCTGATGTCAGCATCCAGTAATACTAATTTATAGATTGTGAAAAGAAGTACACTTTAACATACTTTTATGGACATAATATACTAAATAATATACTTAACTGTATGCAAATGTACTATATTATAGTTGAATGTGTTAAATATAGTTAGCTGAACTTTTTATGCTTTTTTGACTGACTGACTGACTTACTGTAAGTTTCTTCTATTGTCTTTGAAATGTAGTAAAAGTTTACTTTACACTGTCAAATCCAACAGTTGTTTTAACACTTTTTCCTTAACACTTTACTTAGTGTCTTAACTTAATTGTAAAAATATAGTAATCTGTACTATTCTCATACTATGCCTTAGTGGAAAATCCAAGTTAAGATTAATTGATTGGTTTGAATACCATTTTCAAGCAACAACAATAACAAAAAAGAGTTTTTGAGGCGGGACAATTCATAGTAGACTTTTCTCCCATTTCCTCAACTTCCACAGTTATCTTTCTCTGCTTGCTTTTATTCATTTCCCAAAGTAATATAGAATGTTGAATTGTCAATACAAATGAAACTGAGAACATCACACAAGCTGACTTCTTAAATCAATGTCAATTTTCCTAAAATGTTTTAGTTTTAACTCACCAATATGGTGATCAGTGTTCTATTTGATTCGGCACTAAGGACGTCTTTTATGTTATTGTAATTGTTGATACAGCGATGCAACAAAAGGGTAGAAATAAATAGATTGTTTTTAAAAGGGGACCGAAGTATAACTAAATCTAATTAAATGTCTTTTTTCCATGTAAATTCAATAAGAAAGTGTTGGTGCACACGCCTTGTTTCAGTGTTCACATTTTGAACCGTGAATGGCTAATGATATTGTGGCGAAGTGTGCTGAAAGCAGTTTAGTGGATAGGGCTGGTGGATGTCTGCCTCTAAATGTGGAGCAGCGCTATCAGATTATGGTAATATCTACTATTATTGTGATGTAATCCTGATCAATGTCACTTACACTCAGTCAGATTATGCTGTATGGAAATGTAATGCCAAAATCACACACATGCACAAAGGCGCTCACATTATCTATAGGCTAAACTATGTACTAAACAAAGCTTTTCCATTATCATATTATCCACATGGTTGTCATGAGAAAAAATTGTATTCATTTGCAATATTTTATTGAAAGAAAATTTTTTTTAAAGCAAGCGTGAAGGTCCACCCCAACTGGTGTGTAAGAAGATCATACGGACACGTACAAATGAGATTACAAATGAGATTAGTACGAATTAATGCGACCAATTCAACTGGCCAAAACATAAAACAATTACAAATTGTCATGCGAGTGTGTTGAAATTATCACAACACGCCGTGAATAAATAATCATAAGTCATGTACTTTGCACAACCTTCCTTAGGTCATTCAATATTTTACAGATTCATAATTACTTTTTTAAAAGGAATTTGTCTCCACTGTTTCAATCGCAACCAAAACTACTTCACTTAAAATAAATAAATGAATGATTAAAGCAAGCATATAGTAACGGAATATGAACTTTCTTCCGTCTTATCCTTAGCCAAGCTCAGACTATCGCAGGTTTTCTTGCGATTATTGGTTTTTGTATTGTCATGACGTTTCCCGATGTTCATATCGACTGGTTTGAACCTAGTTCTAGTAGTGACACAAAAACCAAACTATAAATAATACTTCTATATATGACTGTGATGTTTTCATCAGACTGTACACTTCAAGTGCTGTGTTACATTCATTTCTCCTCCATGTGAGTGTTGATGAAGCTTTAATTATCATGATCGCACGTTGTGTCCATTCTGTGACAAATCTCTGTGAATCATCTTTTTTTTTTTGTCTCTTTCTCTTTCAGTGTGGGGTGGATGAGCGTTTTTCTGATGAGCAGTTGGTAAGCCTGTCTGTACGAGAGCTGAACAGACATTTGCGTGGAGTGAGCAAAGACGAGGTGGTCCGTTTGAAACAGAAGAGACGAACGCTGAAGAATCGAGGTTACGCCCAGTCCTGCCGTTACAAACGACTCCAGCACCGGCACGCGCTCGAGTCCGAGAAACATATTCTCACACAGCAGGTACACAACACACACATCAAACACTGAAATATGACAAAACTGAGACACATACTGTACAACAAAAGTCAATCATGACCACTGTTGGGTAAGTTACTCTAAAAAAGTAATGAATTACTAGTTACTAATTACCTCTTCAACAGTGTAATTAGATTACTAATTACTCTCTCTAAAAAGTATTTAATTACTTTTAATTACTAATTACTTTCAAAATCCCATATCAATCTCATCCAGCTGAATAATACAAGGATAGACATGAATCTGTTTTAATTTTTTCAAATAAATACTATAAAATTACATGAATTATCTCTAAACTGACCAAGGTGGAGAAGGTTACATTATAAAAACATACTTTTTAACATCAGAAAATAGATTTTGATGTTAAACCCACTATTGTTTTATGTCTGATCTCATGACGTTTCACACTTTTTTCATACGTATTTTACAATAATTCATACGAATTTGTACGAGTGCGGTCGTAATATTTAGACACCTCATAAAATGCATACGAATCGCTGTGAGATCGGATTGATCTATACACAGTATTTACCTCAATTACATCAGAAGTAACTGTAATTAAATTACAGATAAATGAAGAGTAATCCCTTACTTTACATTTTCAAGGGAAAAGTAATTAAATTACAGTAACTAATTACTTAGTAATTAGTTACACCCAACACTGATCATGACAGTAGTTCACAGCTGCCTACCTTGACAGGATTAGGCCTACTTGTTTCAGAAGAATTTGTTCAGATAACATTCAAAAGCATCAGGATGACAAAATTATCAAATGGATGTTTGCATAATGTTCTTAGAACATATTTCTGCTGGCAATAGGGAAAAACCTTTTAATCCAATACTGCATATATCCTTTGCGACGAAGTCAATCCCAGAATTCATTGTAATGAGCAAGGCAGCTCACTTTGGTTTTGAGACATTACAAAGTACAATAAGATCCCTTTAGTTGAGGTTAGTTAATGCATTAGGCCCTACCTAACATTATCACAATACATATTTCTTAATCTTTGTTAATGTTATTAATAAAACACAACTGTTCATTGGTAGTTCATAAAATTCCATGAAATAGTACTAACAAATACAACTTTTTATTTTAATAATGTATTAGTAAATGATGAAGTACACATTAACTAAGATGAATAAATGCTTCAGAAATTTGTTAGTTCATGTTAAAGGAGTAGTTTTAACTTTTGCTGATAATTTACTCACCCCCATGTCATCCAAGATGTCCATGTCATTCTTTCTTCTGTCGAAAAGAAATTAAGGTTTTTGATGAAAACATTCCAGGATTTTTCTCCATATAATGGACTTCAATGGGAACCAAACGGTTCAAGGTCCAAAAGACAGTTTCAGTGCAAACTTTAAACGATTTAGGCTTTAAATGATTCCAGACGATGAATAAGGGTCTTATCAAGCGAAACGATCGCTCATTTAATAAATAAATAAAAAAGTTTAAGGTTTATAAGCTCAAATGGTCGCCTTGCTCTGTTCTGTGATGCGCGTTCGTGACTCTCCTGTTCGAACTTGTTTATCAAAATGAACTAATCTTTTTTGGTGTCATTTGGTTCATTCAACGAACGAAATGAACGAGTTGACTCTGGAAAAGATTCGTTCGTTTTGATAAAAACTTAAACTTTGTTATTTATTTTTTAAATGAGCGATCGTTTCGCTTTATAAGACCCTTATTCATCATCTGAAATCGTTTAAAGCCCTTTGAACAGTTTGCACTGAAACTGTCTTTTGGACCTTGAACCGTTTGGTTCCCACTGAAGTCCATTATATGGAGAAAAATCCTGGAATGTTTTCATCAAAAACCTTAATTTTTTTTTCGACTGAAGAAAGAATGATCTTGGATGACATGGGGGTGAGTAAATTATCAGCAAAAGTTTTTTGAAAAGTGAACTACTCCTTTAACTCATTAATTAAATAATGTTAACAAATAAAAGTATTACCAAAACTGTAAAGTGTATCCCGATCTTATTCAAAAGTATTTCCGATCTATTCTTTTGATTCCTCTAGCTGGAGCAGCTGCAGTGTGAGCTGTCTCGCGTGTTGAGAGAGCGAGACTCGTACAAAGCGCGTTACGAGAAGCTCGTCAGTTCCAACGAGACTCAGCCTTCCCATCCCAACACCTCGCCTTCTCCTACTCCTCCGGATTACTTTTTGTGACAAAATGAACATTGAACAGAAGAGAATGAAAAGAGAGCTGATGAAAGCGATGGGTGAAAGTAATGCAACAGAGCTGTAACTACAACTCAACTTGAAATAAGCTATTTAACCAAAACGGGTTGATTGTGAGGTGGACCTGAGCCCTGGACTGGAATGCTGCTGCTGCTGCTGCTGCTACTGACGGGATTGCGTTTTTGCCCATTGTGAGCTTGTATAAAACCAACCTGATTTCATAAGCACTCATAGGTGTTTGAAAAAAAAAAAGGGGGGTTGTAGCATATGCATGTTTGGATGGACACTGAATATGTGCAGAACCAAAGAACGGACTGACAGTATTCAACACATAAAGCATTTTACATAATGAATCCTCTAAGGATAAGACAAGTTGTTCTCACTACGTTCTAGATTCTGTTAATATTGATATTGTACAGATTTAGTGTCTAAACTACAAACATGTATGTGTGCACATTTTCTACTATTACCTATGAATGCGAATGTGATCACCCATGGTAGCACAAAAGACTTGCTATCCCTTTGTGTTGAGCTATTTGTCACGATGAGTTTAGTTCTTACGAGAGTTTCATTGGCATTCACCAAAATGACTGTTAGAGATATGAATCTATGCAAAACTGCTGGCATTTTGAGCAAGAGAGTAATGCATACAGACTATATCATTATGTGTATAAGCCATCTGTGTGATATTTGCACTGAGGGGTTCGTAGTATCCATTGCAACACACTGTAAAACAATGCAATCAGCAACCAAATATAAACACCATCGCAAGTCAAGTGATGATCACCTCCTAACTTTGAGTGACTGTGTCTTTGGAAGTTACATTTTATGATCAAGTTAAGGGTGTAATTTTAATGTAACATCAAATTAATTTAGCAATTCACAGAGCTGGTCACTGTGGGTGATAGTAGACGCCTATCTAGAGCAGTGTTGACAGACGCAGATTTTTCTAGGAGGTTTACTTGGCCCGCCATAGGTCTACAAATTGACTTGGCTACAGTATTTCACTTATTTATTCACAGTATTTATTTATTGTTTGTAATGTGATAATTGTTTTCAATTGATAGTGTGTATCAATATCATTAATATTTTGTAGCAGGGTAAAAAAAAATATATAAAAAGATTATATTCATTATGCTCCGTTTGTAGTGGTTTCTTATGAAATAAACATACTTTTACCATTAATGATTGCGCAAAGCATTGTGGACTGTAAAACTGACTCATTGATGTGATGTGTGTCGTACTTTTTATTTACTTATGTTTGTGAAGTGGTTTGAACCAAAAAAACAGAACTTCTAGTACCACATGACCATTTTTTCAAGCCTGTTGTGGCTGCTTCTCCTTTTAGACTTCAAAGTAATTGTTTTGATTGGATAGCATATTTGGACTAAAATCCATATTTCATTTTTTTTTTTTTTTTTTTTTGCTATTTAGCTATGTTATATTTCATACTGTACTGTCCAAATAATGCATTAGAGAGTATAGTAAATCTAACGATGAGGTTGGAACGAAGCGGAGAGAGAATCCACATGCAAGCACTACTTTAATAAAACAAACTGGTAATCCAGGGAAAACAACATAACGCAGAACTCAGGACAGGGACATGGAATGGGAAACAGCTACAAGCAACAGTGACCGACAAACAACAACTGAACCACAGAGGTTTAATGTCGCGTTCCAGGCAACCTGTAACCCGTGTTTTTCCAACCTTATACCCGTGAAAGTGCACTGGAACGGCAGTCAAACCTGTGACTTCCCACCTGTGAACTCGTACGATGTACTCCCAGTTACGAGCTCTGACGCCACTTAGCCCACGAAACCATACAAAACATCAATGGCAGCCCCCACGGATGCAGTGTTTCTGCAAGGAGGTACACGGTGTGAATACACTTTAGGACAATATAACGTTAACTAGTTTTCAGTCCATTGAGTGCAAGGATAAATTAATACCAAATAGATTTCCAAATATACAAATGAAGCAAAATAAAAGGTATACCAGCTTATCTTGCCTTATGCGCCGTTTTTTCCTCCTCCGTTTCCCTCAAATAAACAAGGAGTACGCACTTTTGGCGACAGAAACTATTACAAATGTGCATAAGGTCCGCCATGCTGGTTTGTTTACATCTAGCTACCACAATTCCTTGCGCTCAGGTAGTTTGGCGTGACTGACCTGGAATGCTACAAAGTCGTGAATCGTGGTCTGAAGTCATGATTTATATGCTCAAAAACCTGCCTAGAACGCAGCATAAGTACACAGACCATAGACATATAGACTATAGGTTCTAAGCATGAGTCAAAGCCGCCGCCATCTTGGAACAGGGGTCTTGTCATAGGAAGTAGCTAGGTAACGCTGCTATCTCTACCTTTACTTCAAATTTATTGATGGTGGTGGAGTTTTGTGCAGCGTATGATGTTCATGGATGAAATCTGAACTAGGAAGAATGTTTTTTTTTTTTTTTAAATAAAAAAAAGAAATTCTGGAATCAATGATAAATACATGTCTGAGTCTATTGACGCATTCGTTCCAATGAACTGCCATAGCCAAGGAGACGTCTAGTTTATATGTCTATGTACACAGACAAACAAGCTAAAAAAGAGTACAAGGGGCGGGGCTAATTAGAAAAAGCTGGGGAGACTAATAAACAAGAAAAACTACAAAGGACTAAAAAACATGGCACAGAACAGGAAATAACAAAAGTTCACTCGAGACAAGGAGAACACAAGACATGACAGTAACAGAGTATTCTGCTTTTATATAGACATGTCCTGTGTCAAAAACAGCATACTTCCATTATACTACAATGTGAAAAAGTGTGTGTAAACCGTGAACAGTGTGTGATAAACACCAGGGTGATTTACCTCTTCTGTCCAGATTATTAAGTGCGTCGCTGATGGACATTCTTGAATCCCATCAGGCCATAAACCAACCTAGCGGATGTAGTAAATCCAAATTGTAGTCATACTGCACTCATTAATGCTATAAAGATATATTTTTTTACTTTCACAAACTAAGTTTATAAAATGTTGTTTGACAGAATGCAATTTCAGATGTAGTAGGTAGGGTTTGTAAATAATCACCAATCAAGTTGGGGCACCTGTAGAAATTGTTAGCATTAATATCTAAAGGTCAAAACTTTAGTCCAGTAAGGCCTTGTTCAAAAATTAAGACAGGGAGCAGAAGTTTATTGCTTTTTAAATTATTTCTGTGCATGCTATCTTTTCCCCAGTGATAATTAATTTGTCTTGCGCTTGAGACATGAACTGTTTGTCGCTCTATATAGATAAGATACTGTTTTCTTGCAGGCCAAAATCTTTACTATTTGCATTCTAGTTTCTCCTGACTAAAAATCATCTATTCAGATGTAATATAATGCATTCAGCCTTTATGCATTCACATTCTATTTTCAGGAAAGAAACAAAATAATATGTAACAAACTTTAGAAATCACTAGAAATGTCACTAGAAAATAAAAAAATATCCCTTGCAAAAAAAAAGCACTTACTTGCAGTGGAAACGATGGAAGGACGAGCCAGGATTGAATCAGGAGCCTGACCGCCAAAGGTCACGGTGTGAAAGCAGGAGACCCAAGAGGAACCCAGGAGATGAAAGGCCTGGAGGGCCAAGGCGGAGCCGCAGGCATCTGTGACTGAGGTGGAAAAAGCGGGATTGGCAGACCGGGGTGGAGTCGGTGTGACTGAGGACAGTGGCAGAACCAGAGGAAAGGAGAGTCGAGGTGAAGCTGGAGATCCGAAAGTTCGAGTGATGATAGACCAAGGTGGAGTCAAGGGGATGAGGAAGCCTAGCAGAGCCTGAGGGAAGACATACCATGGTGGAGCCTAGGGAGTGTGGAGCAGAAGGCCAACGTGGAGTCTGGGGCTCCAAAGCTCAAGGTGGAGCTGAGGGATCCTCAGACCAATGAGGAGTTGACAACCAGGAAGCCCAAGGAGATCTGAGCAGCAGGGCAGAGCAACTGAGAGAGGAGCCAAGGGGCTGAAAGGAGACAGCGGAGGCGATGCAGAGGCACTGGATGGTGTTAGCATAAGAGGAGGAAGAGGCAGGCTGAGCTGAACCAGCAGTAACAAGACAGCTTGGGACTAAGCTGAACCAGCAGTGATGAAGATGTCTTGAAACTGGGCAGAACCAGTGGTGATGAAGCCGACTTGGTTCTGGGCTGAACTAGTGGCAACAAAGACAACTTGGGACTAGGCTGAACCAGAGATGATGAACATGAATTGGGACTGGGCTGAACCAGTGGCGAAGAAGACAACTTGGGACTAGGCTGAACCAGTGGAGACAAAGGTGACTTAGGACTAAGCTGAACCAGAGATGATGAACATGAATTGGGACTGGGCTGAACCAGTGGCAATGAAGACAACTTGGGACTGGGCTGAACAAAGGCGACTTAGGACTAGGCTGAACCAGAGATGATGAACATGAATTGGGACTGGGCTGAACCAGTGGCCACGAAGACAACTTGGGACTAGGCTGAACCAGTGGAGACAAAGGTGACTTAGGACTAGGCTGAACCAGAGATGGTGAACATGAATTGGGACTGGGCTGAACCAGTGGCAACAAAGACAACTTGGGACTGGGCTGAACAAAGGCGACTTAGGACTAGGCTGAACCAGAGATGATGAACATGAATTGAGACTGGGCTGAACCAGTGGCAACAAAGACAACTTGGGACTAGGCTGAACCAGTGGAGACAAAGGTGACTTAGGACTAGGCTGAACCAGAGATGGTGAACATGAATTGGGACTGGGCTGAACCAGTGGCAACAAAGACAACTTGGGACTGGGTTGAACAAAGGCGACTTAGGACTAGGCTGAACCAGAGATGATGAACATGAATTGAGACTGGGCTGAACCAGTGGCAATGAAGACAACTTGGGACTGGGCTGAACAAAGGCGACTTAGGACTAGGCTGAACCAGAGATGATGAACATGAATTTGGACTGGGCTGAACCAGTGGCCACGAAGACAACTTGGGACTAGGCTGAACCAGTGGAGACAAAGGTGACTTAGGACTAGGCTGAACCAGAGATGATGAACATGAATTGGGACTGGGCTGAACCAGTGGCAACAAAGACAACTTGAGACTGGGCTGAACAAAGGCGACTTAGGACTAGGCTGAACCAGAGATGATGAACATGAATTGAGACTGGGCTGAACCAGTGGCAACAAAGACAACTTGGGACTAGGCTGAACCAGTGGAGACAAAGGTGACTTAGGACTAGGCTGAACCAGAGATGATGAACATGAATTGGGACTGGGCTGAACCAGTGGCAACAAAGACAACTTGAGACTGGGCTGAACAAAGGCGACTTAGGACTAGGCTGAACCAGAGATGATGAACATGAATTGGGACTGGGCTGAACCAGTGGCAATGAAGACAACTTGGGACTGGGCTGAACAAAGGCGACTTAGGACTAGGCTGAACCAGAGATGATGAACATGAATTGGGACTGGGCTGAACCAGTGGCCACGAAGACAACTTGGGACTAGGCTGAACCAGATGAGACAAAGGTGACTTAGGACTAGGCTGAACCAGAGATGATGAACATGAATTGGGACTGGGCTGAACCAGTGGCAACAAAGACAACTTGAGACTGGGCTGAACAAAGGCGACTTAGGACTAGGCTGAACCAGAGATGATGAACATGAATTGGGACTGGGCTGAACCAGTGGCAATGAAGACAACTTGGGACTGGGCTGAACAAAGGCGACTTAGGACTAGGCTGAACCAGAGATGATGAACATGAATTGGGACTGGGCTGAACCAGTGGCCACGAAGACAACTTGGGACTAGGCTGAACCAGTGGAGACAAAGGTGACTTAGGACTAGGCTGAACCAGAGATCATGAACATGAATTGAGACTGGGCTGAACCAGTGGCAATGAAGACAACTTGGAACTGGGCTGAACAAAGGCGACTTAGGAGGACTAGGCTGAACCAGAGATGATGAACATGAATTCGGACTGGGCTGAACCAGTGGCGACGAAGGTGACTTAGGACTAGGCTGAACCAGAGATGGTGAACATGAATTGGGACTGGGCGGAACCAGTGGCCACGAAGACAACTTGGGACTAGGCTGAACCAGTGGAGACAAAGGTGACTTAGGACTAGGCTGAACCAGAGATGGTGAACATGAATTGGGACTGGGCTGAACCAGTGGCCACGAAGACAACTTGGGACTAGGCTGAACCAGTGGAGACAAAGGTGACTTAGGACTAGGCTGAAACAGAGATGATGAACATGAATTGGGACTGGGCTGAACCAGTGG